ACCACTAAGCACAAATTTAAAAGGCTATGATAAAAGCTTTTGCAATATTACCTGACTTTTAGAAGTAAATCGCAGATGGGAGGGGCTCAAAATTGAGGACACACCCTTCTGGCTACAGCTGTCTCTGTGGCGCAATCGGTTAGCGCGTTCGGCTGTTAACCGAAAGGTTGGTGGTTCAAGCCCACCCAGGGACGTTGGGTTTTGAGCTGTAACATCCTGGAAATGAGTAACCTGGATTTAGTATTCCAGAATCAACGGGACACGTCCTCGGAGCCAAAATATAGCATTGATAAGAGCAATCTCCTTCCCTGATTTCCCCACTTTAATGAAATATTCTGGTGTGTCCTTTCATCACACATTGCCATCTTGAAGTCCATCTGGATGTCCTCCTCCACAAAAATTCTTATCAACTCTTATCTTTTCACCCTGAACTTCATTGTCAGTCTAAGGTCTCTTTAGGTCCTTTATGGTCAGCAACATTCATTGTGGGAAACCTCAACCCAGCAGCTTCTGGGCCATGGAAAACCACTAAGCACAATCTTCAAATGTCATGGTTAAAGTTTCTACAATATTGCCTGACTTTAGAAGTAAATGGCAGATGGGAGGGGCTTAGAGTTTGAGGCCACACCCCTTGGGCTTGAGCCGTCTCTGTGGCGCAATCGGTTAGCGCGTTCGGCTGTTAACCGAAAGGTTGGTGGTTCAAGCCCAACCAGGGACGAAGCATCTTCTGTTTAAGTGACCAATCCTTGAATCAAAAATGGAGGAACCATTGATTCATTCTCTGAAAACATTTGGAAAAATCTTGGATACCCACATATGTTTCCATCCTTTTTCATGTGATCATGACTTTGTGGTCAAAGGCACACTGACTCTTAACCACCCTATAAAACTGGATTTAAAACATTGAACCATGAGGGTTCACACTGACCCCTTTGTGAACGTCCATGTGCAGCCCAAACTTTGTGGCTACACTGTCCACACTACAAGCTTAAAGCCTTGATCACGCTCCTGTACAGAGTTGTATTCTAATAATTGAGTGTTAAGAATGACATGAGTTGTGCAGGAAATCCCCCAAAAAACACTAAGCACAATTTTAAAATGCTACGATCTATGTGTCAGCAATATTCTCACACTGACTTTTCGAAGTATAGTAGATGTAGATGGGAGGGGCTAGAAGATTGAGGCCACACCCCTCAGTAAAAAGTGTCTCTGTGGCGCAATCGGTTAGCGCGTTCGGCTGTTAACCGAAAGGTTGGTGGTTCAAGCCCACCCAGGGACGTTGGATCTTCTCTTTAAGTGACCAGGAATACACATCATCAGTTAGTACATGACGTTGAAAAGAGCAAACTCTTTCTATGAGTTCAGTAACTGAAAGAAAATCTTCTGGCAAACCTTTGCATAACATTGCCATCTTGAAGTCCCTCTCGTTGTCCTCCTTCACAAAGGTTTTCAAGTCCTTTATCGTAAGCAACATTAATTGTGGGAAACCCCACCCCAAGAGACTTCTTAGAAGTATAGTAGATGTAGATGGGAGGGGCTAGAAGATCGAGGCCACACCCCTCAGTAAAAAGTGTCTCTGTGGCGCAATTGGTTAGCGCGTTCGGCTGTTAACCGAAAGGTTGGTGGTTCAAGCCCACCCAGGGACGTGGGATTTTCTATTGAAGTAACCAGTCCTTGAATCAAAAATGGAGTAACCATTGATTCATTTCGTGAAAATCCATTTGCAACCCAGACTTTGTAGCTATGCTGTCCACACTATAAGCTTAAATCCTTGATCATCCTCCTGTACGGAGGTATATTCTGATAATTGAGTGTTCAGAATGACCTGATTTGTGCAGGAAATCCCACGTCCAGGTGTAGAGCTTTCTCAGAATTTCTCCGACGTGAGTCACGCTGTTACAGAAAACTACTGCTCTGGATGGCTTCCAATGCCTGCAGCTGCTACTAACAGAAGGCAGAAAGAAAGGGGACAGGTTGAGGCGTCCGGGCCCAACCAAAGCTCCTGTCAATAAATGATCTGCCATTTTAATGCTGTGAACTTTATTCTCTCTAGGATGGATCCACACATGTCATTTTGGCTGAAGGCCGGCAGCCTACAGTTGTATGCTAAAGTTAGGGTGCCCCTTGACAAATAATATTTTGGTAACTTTTGAATTTTTAGACACAATATTTACAGCAAACATTAATGCTTAATTTTGGCAAGTTCAACTGTTGGGCAACCTAAGAGTTTTGCCATCTCAGATTCTTTTTAAAAGGCTTTAGACCTTTATCAGCTCATCAGGAAGCGTCAGCTGGTGCCAATTTCAAAGCTTTACACTCTGGGTTCTTCTAAGCAGCTGCGTGAGACTCTCAAAATAAAAGTTATTGATGCCCATCAATGTCCACAATGCAACAGAAGGCTACAATATGATAGCAAAGCACTGTCAGCTTGCAGTTTCCACAGTGTGAAATGTAATTAAGAAATGGCAGTTCAGGGGAACTGTGGAGGCCAAAATGAGACCTGGAAGACCAAGAAAACCCCCATGTGAATGCAAAAACCTGGAGGAAGATTAGTAGACTCAGGAGTTCCACTGTGCAGAGCTGCTTGTACAAACAAGACCTTCATGGTAGAGTCAGTAGAAGAAAACCTCACCTGCTTCCACATTATAAAATCCAATGTCAGAAGTATGCAATAGAACATCTACACAAGCCTGATGTGTTTTGGAAAAAGGTGCTGTTGACTGATGAAGATTAAATGTAACTTTTTGGCCACAATCAGCAAGGATTTGTTTGGAGAAAAAAAAGGAGCAGCATTTCCTGAAAAGCAACCATCCCCAACTGCTTGGGGGTGAATATGTCATTGTTTGGGGTTGTGTTGCAGCCAATGGCACAGGAAACATTGCACAGGTGGGACTAAGTACTGACCGGGTAGGGTGCCCAAACTTCTGCAAACACCACAATGATGTTTTTATTTGTATTTTTTGTTCAATTTATGAATATTTGCTAAAAATAATATATTTTATGTTCCATATACTTAAAACGTTTAAATCTTTTCACTTACAAAGTCACCAAAATATGGTATTTGTCAAGGGATGCCCAAACACATACAACTGTATAAGCTAAATAACACGTTTCCTTTTTAAACTAGATCAATGCACAGGGCTCTGTTATAACCCATAAGGTAGGATGCAATCAGCTTGTAGTGAAGTGTTAATCCCAAAGTGTGTGTTTTGTTCCTCCGAGCAGCAAACTACTAATTTGCTGACCATCACCTCCTACACTATAATCACATTTTCCCTGTGGACGACTATTGGCAGGTTGATGTTTTCTTTATGGTTGTACTTTATGGTTCGTTTTTGTGTATCTGCGAGCCAGATTTAAAAACGTTTTATTTTTTCTTGACCTGAACGTCAGTGGAGAGGAAGAAAACGGTTTGTCTGGAGCCATCTCAGCCAGCAGTTGATTTTCTAAATGACAGTGCCATGCAGGAACCCGCTAAACTCTGACTTTGATTTTTTTGTCCTTTGATTGCAGGGTAGCGGGAATTGGAGAGGTTTAGTGGTGATATTTTTGAGTTTTAACTGTGTGATGTTTTTGTGATCTGTTTTTTTTTTTTGCTTGTATGTATGGACAAGATGTAACTGAAGCGTTTTACTGTGTTGGCTGTTCTTATTCTTTCTTTGTTCTTGTTGCCAAGGCTATAAGGGTCTGTTCATTCAAGGTTTTTATCCCCTCACCCACCACTCGGTCCTCTGATCCTCTCAGCGGCTCGGCTCTTATCCGCCCTGTAGCCTTCAAAGTTGCCAGCATGCTGGGAGGAATACTAATATCACAAACAATACACAGATTCTGCCCAGAGCACTCTCTCATCTCTGCTTCATAGTTTGTATGAAGGATCTTTTTTTTCTGACATTTGGTCCTGTGAACTATTTGAAAATGTGTGCACAGCCATTTTCTAAAGCAGATGAGAGTTTCTCTCCGCTTCAGTCAAATTCCTGTATTTCCTGAATCTGCTTTTCTTTACTCGGGAAAGTCAAACATGTAAAATATTTCAGCAACATTCGTTTTTAAAGTGACATTTCTTTGTTTGTTCCAAATTGAGAATGGGTTGGACGGTATAACTGAAACCAAACTAACATTGTTGAGGTGACAGAATAAACATCCAGTGGTTCTTCTATTCATTCCTCTTCTTTGTCCGTAACCCAGAGGAAACTGTAGCCTCCAACAACAGATATTTCACATTTTTATGTGACATTTTCTGTTGATAGGCTAACCACAGATTTTTTCTTTCTGCTGCGTGTATAATTTTCACAGATTCCAAATTACACTGTGTGTTTGTGTCAGCAGGAGGAGATCTTGTACCAGTACCCGGTGTCTGAAGCATCCAGCCAGCTGAAAGGAGTGAGGGGGATCTTCCTTACACTGTGTGACATGCTGGAGAATGTCACAGGCGGGCAGATAATCAGGTAAGGGAAGCAGCATGAAGAACAAATAGTAATTCAACATTTTTTTATGTAGGTATTTTCCTTCCTAAATGTTTTGTTTTGTCCTACCAACAGTCCAGTACTAATCTGCAACTACATCATTAGATGCTTTTTGAGTTTTAGTTTTATTTGTTATTGAATAAACAATATAAAATAAAAATATATAAAATATAAAACAACTAGTTGAATTATTTTAGCTCTAGGGGGCTTGATTTTTATAATTTAATGATTTCTAACAGCTTTACAGCTATAATAATAATCTTCCTGTACTTAAGTGTAATGGCTTTAATACACCATATTAATTTTAATATAATAACAATGATACTGTAAAATGAGACCACGTTTTCTCTAAACGCTTTAACTTTGTCAGACGTAGTACTGGTTGTTTTATGAAGAGGATGTGGGTATATTAAAGGCAGTTTTTTCTGGGGTATTTTTCCATCTTTTTCCCCCACTTCTTTCTCTCGCTGCCATTGGAAAAAAATCAGAAAAACAGTACCTTCTTCAAAATTCTCTTTCGAATCAAACCCTATGGCACACAAGAAAAGATGGCTCTTTATTAAAAAATGATAATAAGCAATCAACATGAATGTGAGGATGATGAAATCAGCTTTAATAAGGAGTTCCCAAATTATTTTTGTTGTAGCTCCCCCAAATTAACTTTTCTGCCAGTTCACTTCTGGATGTTTTAAAAATCAACGCAGTTCACAGTTGAGTTTAAAACAACAGTGAGCTGGGAGATAATTTTGGCTATTGGGGGATGTATTCTATTTCTGTTTATGTTAACCCCGCCCTCATCTTTTTCTGATCTATATGTCACATGTGCTTTGATTTTGGCGTTTTTTTTGTCTTCTCTCCCTTTAGTTCTTCTCTCCTGCTCGGGAAACATCTGGTACATGTGGGCTACTGGAAGGAAAGCAACAACCTGTTGGTCATCGGACTTCCTGCTGAAAGGTAGAGGGAGGACAAATACACCGAGATAGCTCCACCACATTTCATTTGAACTGCAGCCTTTGCCAGCTGAAAATTCGATAAATATTACACAGCAAGAGTTGCTTCCATGTGGCACCTGTGTAAAAGATCTGACAGCACATTTTCTTATTTTTTTTAAAAAATCCGGGGCTGATACTGATGTGGTAATACATTTTCTGAGCATGACTTTTGCTCAAGAAGTAATTTTTGGAGATGAGGAAACATATTTAAGAGCACGATCTGTAAAAACAATTGAAAAGGGACCATCATTTTTTCTCAATTTTAGCAAGCACATGTGCTCTTTTTGTTCTTTGTTGGCAGCATGAATACCTCTTTCAGGAGCATGTGGTAGTAAAACAGTTCATGAGATGAGTCATATTAGCCTCCTTTTCAGGTCAACCCCAATCCATCATCATCTCGGTTGAGAATCAGTCTCATTCATGCCTAAAGGGTTGATTCTTGAGGAACACCCACGTATAGACAAAACAATAACTTATAAAATGTTTTTCCTTCATGGTTCCTGGCCGTTACTCCAAATATTTGATAAGCAGCTGAAATTGAAGTTTGTCCAAGTCTGGGTTTGACATTTTTCCGTTTCCCTCCAGGGTTCCACTGCTGTATCTGCAGACGGTGGTGGGAGACGTAGTCAGGACACTAAAAGTGATGTACGGCTCCTTAGACAGGTTGGTCGGCCCTAGCTTTCCTGTGGTCCTGCTGGGAGAGCTGGTTGAGACTTCCCCTCTCTGGCAGCCATTATTATATGCTTAATGCAAAATATACTGAAATAAAAACAGTGTGTTTCACCAGCTGGATTTTACACAAAGTCTAAACTGTCTTACTCTCTTAACCCCCTTTTCTTTGCTCTCAAATAATTTCCCCTTCTATTTCTTTGTTTCTCACAATGTAATCACTCTTTTATAGTTGTATTACTTAAATTACTGTTATCATGACACTCTTTTCTTCATTGTGTCCTCCACAGTGCCTTCTGTAAGGCCGACCATGCTCCCAGGTTGGACCATTTCTTCTGCCTGTTCTTTCAGCAGCTCATCCAGCCGTCCCGCTTGAGGGACGTCGCCTCAGCCCCACCCCCCGAACGTTTCGGGACGCTTTTCCTCGATGGACTGCCGGCGGTCCGATGGCTCACGCTGCCCCCAGAAATCAAGGTACATTTCTGTGTTTGTGAGGAGACTGGGACAGGAATATTACAGATCAAATGTATTCTTGGAGCAGTAGTTAATACAGCAACAGCCATCACAGCTATTTGGATATCATCATGTTTCTATGGATGTGACAATGTTGTCACAAATGCAGCTGTGGTGCCCTCTAGTGTCCGTTGTTTAAAATGACATTCAACTGTCCTGTAAAGGAATATATTGGATCAATGAATTAGCTAAGACTATAGATAACACTTTAAAAAACTGAGTATACATTAGATTATATATTTTGTATCTTTAAAAACTCTCCACTTAGGACTCAATTATACTTAATACTTAATGACATTATTGGATTATTATCTCTGCACATTGCAAATATTCTCCTTATTTTAAACTGTGAACTTCTGTGAACCTCTTTTCAACTCTGTACAGCTCTTTTATTTTAAAAACGAATACATTTTACATATTTTTTTATTGTAAATTTCTATTTTATTAATGATTCTTTTTTTAAATTTTCTCTTACTATGTTTATTGTTATGCGCCAAAACTTACGTGGCAATAAACCTGATTATTCTGATTGTTATACAGATGCTTATAATTAAATGTTATGAAGCTTATATTTGTTTTTCTTTATCCACAGATGGAAGTGGACACTGTTCTCTCTGATTTCGAGTCTTCTGATTTTGGAGAAATGGTGAGAAATGTAGTTATCACCCACACACTTTAATATCAAACAAATAACTTAAAAGTGTTTTCTAGTCCTGCTGTCTTGCAAGCATAAAGTACTTCTAAATGTATATTTACATGTATCCTGTTTCTTCTTATTAAATGGCCAATCACAAATAAGTGCTGTTTGACTTACATCAGTGCTTCATGTTGTGTTAAGATTCGTTATCCTGCTGCTCATTAGTTGGATGAACATACATGTTAGCTGAGATGCCATCTGTCTTCTGGCCTCAGCAAGGGAGAGGACAAGTTTAGACTATTTTTAGAGGCATGCGTGTGTGTGTGTGTGTGTGTGAGAGAGAGAGAGAGAGAGAGAGAGAGAGAGAAAAAAAAAGAGAGAGAGAGAGAGAGAGAGACGCTAATGGGGTCTGGTTTGTCCTTTATATGTGCAGACTTAACTGATTACATGAAGCTGCAGTTGAGGACAGAAAACAGCAGAGACATTAACATTTTCAGTCAGCTTCTTCCAATATCTGTGTCTTTGTTTACTTTCGCATAGTTTTTTATCTTTATTTTTTTATTCTTCAAACAGTCAGAGGACTTTTTTGGCCTGAGGCGTCTGTATGTGATTCTTGGCTCCTGTTTGTTCTACAAGGTGGGTGTCTTAGTCCAAACAAACACGCACACACACACGCACACAACGCCAGCAACCATATCGTACTTATATCCTCCCCCACCGTCTAGACAGCTATCCTTAAACTGCAACAATAAAAGCCCCAGCGAACAGTCACTGTATACAGAAGATAACCTTTCACACAAGATAACATGATGGGCCTGTTCTGTGGCTCAGTGACAAATCATCAACCTGATTACACTGTTAAAATATTAACTAGGGAAAAGGGAGACGGAGGACAGCAAGCAGTCGGCTGTGTTGTATGTACTGTTACACTAAAGGTGTGAAAACTGACTGGATCGGCCCAGTATCACATCTTAATGGATATATATGTTCCCAAGTGCCAGATGTGACTGTGAAAGATTTGTTTTAAAGCCAAAGTTCATTACCATAAACATAAGAAAAGGGCTTTTTGTACTCTCTACATTTATCCATATTCACTCACAATGTTGGCCCTAAGCCCTCAGCACTTGCTCACTAAAGATTTTACTAAATCAATCGCACACTCACCTTCCAGTCCTACCTGATCGCCAACCATCTGCCTAAAGAGGACCTGTTGGATGTGTGCCTGTACTGCCAGCACTACTGCCTGCTGCCGCTGGCGTCCGAGCAGCGGGTGGGTCAGCTGGTCATCTGGAGGGAGGTGTTTCCGCAGCAGAGAGCTAACGGCAGCAGCAGCAGCAGCCCAGCGCCGGGCTACAGCCCACCTCAAGGACGACACTTCCTCCTCATAGTGGGGCTGGTAAGGAGGCGAGTCGCTGTCTGGTGTTTGCTTCTGTCTCTCGTTTTACACAAACTTCCTCCAGTTGTTGCAAAAATCATACATGAAGCAGTACAATCAGACTCTCAGAGGGTTTTTATCCTCTCATTTGGTTTGGTTGGTAAAATATCTGCTTCTGTCCATCTCTCATCCCTCCATCATTTCTGTTCTCTTCCTTTCATAGAAATATATTGTTGTGGTACAAATTATATTTTCTCTGCTTGTATTTATGTACCCTTCCACCCCAGAGGCACTTCATGCAGTGTGTGCTGTTGGAGGCAGGTGGATGTGCTTCACCAGCCTTGGGCTCTCCAGGACCTGATTGTGTTTACGTAGATCAGGTGAATCTTGTTGAACTTAATGTACATTTCTAACACATTCTCACTGAGACTACCTGTCTCCTAACCTAACCTAAAGAACCAGAAATAACCAAATCTGTTCATTGCTATAAATAAGCCGAAACTCTCGTACGTTCAGGTGAAGGCCACCTTGCTGCAGCTGGAGGTGTTGGAGGCAGGTATTGAGGAGCGACTGAATGCCCCACCTGCTCCCTGCCTGTCCTGTGCTGACTGGTTCCTCCCCGCCTCCACGGCCCGTGACCGCCTGGACAACCTGGCCTCCTCCTCCCCGGTCTTCAGCAAGCTAGCCGGAGCAGTTAAAGGCTCCTCTGTGGGGTCCAGAGGCCGCAGCCTGTTTGGGGAGAAAGCCAGAAGGTCCAGCCCCCAGAGGAGCCTGTCGGACAGCGGGAGTGAGGGACAGATGGATGCTGGGTCGGGGTCTGGTTCATCAATGGCTCCAGGCCTCAGTCCACATTCTACACCGGACTCAGCGAGGAAGCTTGGGGGGCGTCGGGACTCACTGGGGTCTGGAGGATCTGATGGGAGTGGAGGCAGCGGAGGCCTCTTTAAGGTAAAGATAGATAGAGCAACTAAACTCTGAACTACTACTACTACTACTAGTAGTAATAGAAGTATACATACAGTAACCACAACTAGTGCTGCACTCAAAGTAAAAGTGTAATACGGTCTCAAGGTAAGTGACATGGTGGTGTGGTTAGTAGCAGCAAAGTATAGCATATGTAAGGGTTATATGACACCGTCAGCTATAACACCAGAATATTATGTAATAGGATTGTAGGTGGATCTTTATTTATCCTGAGGGAAATTGATGTGCAGCAGCTGCAGTGCAAAGTAGGAAAGAGTGCAAATATAAAATATCAATAAACAGTTGTCAAAATGTCAAGAAATAGAACAAGGGTTAAAGGGAAGGTTGCTTGTGGTAAAAGAACTCCCCGTCGGGGAATCGAACCCCGGTCTTCCGCGTGACAGGCGGAGATACTGTCCACTATACTAACGAGGAAGGACAATTGTCCAAAAGACGTCTGTGAGACGGAAGGAAGGGGGTTGCAATCTGTAACTATACAGCTAGACGCCATTAAATCCTACACTCTGGTCCTTAAAGTGACTTAGTGGCAGTAAAGAATAATAAACGTAAGAGCTTTATGATACCGTCAGCTGTAACAGTATACACCAGAACATTATGGAATAAGATTATAGGTGGAACTGAGGGAAATCGGGGGAAATTGAGCAGTAGTTGTAGGACAAATATTGTATTATAAAAATATAATACATCAGTTGTGGTCTTTTATTGAGTCTGTTAAGAAACTTATGTTTGTTCCTGTTTGGTTGTTTATTTGTTTGCCTGTTAGTTTACTATAAAACAGCTTTTTTAAGGATTTCTCATTACAAGATAGGTATTCTTTAATATGTTTCTGCCTGTAATTGATTCCTGAAAGTGAAGAAATTACAAGAAATGAGGGCACACACCCACGTTGACTTTTAGTTTTTTACGGTTGCTGGAACAGAAGGCAACGTCATAGATTTATTATGTTTTCTGGGTATGAAGTAGAATTTGTTGAATGTCTCTGAAAAAAGACTTCTGGATTTAGTGTTTCTAACCTTAATCTCAGAGAAAAGCAGATTTTATTGGACCACGTTCTCACCATATTGCTTTAATATCATAATGAATTGTAATATTCTGACGTCAGATTTCCAGGATGAAGCACCCAAACCCGTTCTACCTGGGCACCCTGAAGAAGACCCTGACTGAAAGAGAGACAGAGGAGATGTATAACACCATGAAGTGAGTGGAAATTATCATTTTACTTCATTCCAATTGCGTATATAATTAATGTTAAGGTAAAAAACCTAATTTTCCTGTCCTGTTTGTGACAGACTCACCTCGGGAGCAGAGAACACTTTGTTCCACTATGTCCTGATGGAAAACGTTCAGGGGATCTTCATCGCTCCTACCCACAGAGAGGTGGCTCAGCTCAGCGGCTCCATTCACCCACAGCTCATCCGCAACTTCCACCACTGCTGCCTCTCCATACGGGCTGCGTTTCAGCAGAGCCTGCCAGCCAGGGTGAGTTACGGTTATAAATAAATACAGTCTCAACCTCAAAACAACATCTCACCTAACTACACAGGTCACACCAATCTGGACAAACAGCATGAGATAGTAAGAAGCTGTGTAAAAGTCAAAGCCACCTAAAGATACACCACGACTTGATTCAGTTTCAGATCAAGACTGAGACAATAGCATGACTGAATTTTGTTGGTTTGAATCAGATAAAGGGCTTTAATATAACACAGAACGTAATTTATCCTGAGGGTTAGATAGTAATCATCAGTAGCAGTAAAAAGTAGGAAAGAGCGCAAATTATAAATATACAAAAACCCCAAAATATAAAGAAAGTTATTGGTAAAGTTGCTTCTTTATGAAAATACGATAAAAAGAAACTCCCCGTCGGGGAATCGAACCCCGGTCTTCCGCGTGACAGGCGGAGATACTGTCCACTATACTAACGAGGAAGGACAAGAGTTTGTGTGATAACTGTCATTGTTATAACCAACCTCTCTGGGAAGACAACAACATATTCTGTATATTATATATGTATATATTCTTACAGGGCCGACGGGCTGCAGACAGGCCTCAGGGCGGTGGTTGGGGTCTGGGACCGGTGAAGGAACACGGGGTTCTGTTTCAGTGTAAACCTGAGAACTGGACCGACCAGAGGAAACCTGCTCCCACCATGACGTACTGGGTTATAGGGTACGTAAACTTCCCCTTTTTAATGAGACTGTTTTGTTATTTTTATTCTCCAACGACAAGAGAGACACGTTGGAGTGGTGGCGCTCAGGGAAAACACGTCTGGTGAGATTTTGTTCTGCACCAGTGGAAATACCCGTGGCTCCAGAAACAGGGAATGCAACCACTCAGCTTTGTGTTTTAACCTGGCTCATAATAGATCGCCGTCAGTAAAATGATCCCTGTGAGGAATAAACAGCAGTGTTGTACGGTGGTGTAGTTGAAAGGGAGGGAAAACAGTCCTGTGCTGAACTGACTGATGGTACTTAGAACACGTCTTTCAGAAGCTCACAGTCACAGATAAGAGGGGTGGGGGATGGGAGGTCAGAGGCGGGGTTAAAATAGGAATGTGAAAGAGCTTTAGCAGCACAAAGAAGGAGGGTTAAACAAAAGAAACTCCCCGTCGGGGAATCGAACCCCGGTCTTCCGCGTGACAGGCGGAGATACTGTCCACTATACTAACGAGGAAGGTTAAGATCTGAACAGTGACTGCCAGATAAAATAAGTAACAGTTCTACATGAACAGGCTCAACCTCAGACCACAGTTCACACCAACCTGGGCAAACAGCTTGAGATGGAAGAACTTGTGTTAAAGTCACTAGGTGGGGTTCTCACTATTACTGAATATTATCACATAGACGTGTTCAGGACTCCTATCAGACATGTGAAATATGCGGTATTGGACGGAGCAAATAATGATTCCTAGAGATACAAGAGGGATAAATAGAGAACCTGAAAAATAATTATTGAGTAAGCACTCAAAGTA